CAAAACAATGCCCCATGAATACACAGTCCATTGCGCCCTAAAGTTGTATTAAATGGCCGCTATCCGAGTCGGTGTTCCAGGGGCAGTGACGGGTGGCAATGTGGTTGGAGGTCTGATGATTCAAAGGCCAAGGTCAGATGGTCAAAGGCCAAGAATAATGGAGGACCAGATGCTAGACAGGGGAAAACAAGAGGAGACTCCGCAGCAATGAAGGCAAGCAAAGGGAAAGGCTCGCCAAAAGAAAGCCCAAACACGCAAGGAAAGAGGCAGTGTCGACGAGAGGGCCGAGCAAAATGGAGAGAGGGGGGGGAGTGTCTAAGGAGGGCCGCCGCAGCGGCAAGCCAGCCAGCCGCCCGATCCGCCCAATCCCGGTCCAGTCTAGTCCAGCTCGATCCCCGCCTCTCCGAAGCGATAATAATTGATAATAGGGGTTAGATAGAGTCCCCAAGGCTCACCAATCACCCAGCAAAGCAAAAGGCACTGTAGTCGCCCAAGTCAGTGTAAAAAACGCCAGTCAGCAGCGCGGTGCCGCCATCTTCCTCTCCGTGCAGCGCGGGTAGTTCAGAACCGCCGAGGATCGCGTAGTCCTGGGTCGCCCAGGAATGGTAACTCTTCCGGATATCTAGCTCCTTGTGTTCCTTGTGTTCCAGTCATCCCAGGGGACCTTTTCAGATGATTTTGCAGCCGGTTTCAAAGACTCTCCAGTGCTTTTTCACCAAGTCACTTCAGAGCGAAAAAGCCTGGCAGCCATTCGGAACTCACACATGCGCAGGAGGTGTAGTGATTCATTCATACTATGTCAACTGATCTAGTATGTTATATCTGTGTAATGAAGTGACTACTAAAGGAGGATTTAAAAATGAAATCTAGTATGAATGCATATCTGAACATACATGTACAGTTTGGTATTTGTTGAAGGAGGGAAACATTTTTTTTAAATGTACAGTTTCTAGAAATACAGATTTTTTTAAAAAATATCTATAATACCATTTTGATAAAAGAAGAGATTTTCCGGAGCCTGGCTGTCCAGTTACAAGGAGAGGTGGAATTGGTGCAGGGGCTGCCACAAAATCATTCAGACTTTCATAATACTGTAAATGAAACAACACAATATAATAAATAATTGTTGAGTTAAGTTCAAATATTTACATTTACTTGATTATAAAGCTGTGTTCATCCAAAAAATAGTCTTTTACATATTAATTTATGTGCATATAAAATATTGGCATTTCCTTAGTTTGAACATAAAGGATCCTGTTAATTAAAGATTATGACTGGAAGGAGCTAGGAAGAGACTTTTCTGGTGTTACCCCTGCCCTTTGAAACATTCTTCCCCTAACAGCTGAAGCTGCTTGGCTTTTCAAAAAAATCTGCATTCTTGTTTGGGGCATAGAGAAGAGCAAACACCTGTGAGGCTTGTTAGAACCTACATACCCTCCCACCTTTTAATTAACTTTTAATGTCAAATTTTAACTACCTTTGTCTCTCCTTTACAATTTTACATTCATTTTATATTTTTATTGTCTTTTAATTAAATTTTATTTGTACACTACCCAGATTCCCTCTGTGAGGATATGGGAAATTTCTAAATGTGACGAATGAAATAAAAAAGCTAAAACAGAATTTACTGACCATAACCATTATTGAACATGATCATAGTCCTGATTTACGTTTGATCAATTACAATCCTCACTGGTTTGAACAGCATGAAAAATTGAAGGATGGTACAATTTAGTGTGTGGGGGTTACCAAATCAATTAAGTTTTAGAGTACTTTGAGACAAGACTTATTTTCTAATACCCTGACCTTAATTAACTGAATTTTTCAAAGTGAAATTGCAACTCTCTTATTCTTTCCTGACACTTCAACTATCTCTTTTTTTCATTCCAGGAATAATATATTAAGGAAAAAATAGTTATGCAGTGCTAGAGTGTACTCAAACTACATAATTCAAAGATTACTTTTGTTTTTATAAAAATATGAGGGTTCTACAAAAATAGGCCGTTAATGAATCAGATAATTGATATTTAAACCACCTTCATAGCGTATAGCTATAGGCTATGTGATTTGTTGCTTTTGATTTAGTATTTTCACACTATACAGCAACAATGTAAATTGTTTGTTCTTTCTGCTCAGCCTCACCATTATGCAAGCATAGTGATAGTCTTGTGTAGGTGATTCATAAGAATGTCTTTGCTCTGCAGACGTTTGAATAATTCTCTTTGATTTTTTTTCATTTCTTAAGTATGATTTTGTTTTTGTTTGATTGGTTACAAAAAATATTTTTGCCCTTGCCAGATATATATAGAAAGTGTTGTTCTGCCTATCACATATGAAATAACAAAAGCTTTTGCCCTTGAACTACAAAAATGATTTTTCTCAGAAGGTCTGGAGGTCAGCACGGTGCTGTATGGTTGATACAGTATCCTGCATACTTCAGGAAGTATTTTTAACTCTACTTATAAATATTACTTTATTATTACTTTATTCTGGAACAGAATATTCTTCTTCTTTTTATATGAATCTTTTTTATACCATTGACCACTTGTTCTATGAAAAAACCCTAAAAGATATACAGTGAAACTTTGAATTTTATTGATGATACATGATACTTGATACAATCACAGTACGTTCTTTTGAGAATGGAAAATCGAATGGTAAGTGCATAACTGGGGAGAGTTGGCTTGGCAGCATACAGTTTGAAAAAGATCTAAGAGTAGATCATTAGTTGACCATCAACAAACATGGTAGACCAATGCAGTTATAATATACATTAAAAGATATATGCGAATATAAAAGGTAAAAGTTCCATTGTATTCAATGCTGACCAAGCTGAACACCTAACATGCTCAGTTTTCATTTATTCATTTAAAAAAATCTATACAACTGCCCAACCTGAACCCCAAGGTTACAAAATAAATATATACACAAAACAGATTAATTGTTCCATTAAAATAAATATGAATTCTTAATAGACTGATAGGAACTCAGAATTATTAGATGTGTGTTATTACAGATAATGTGCATTATTACAGATCTCCAGATATCCCATTATTTGGAATAATAAGTTCAGTTCTGGACTTTCGGGACATAGAGAAACTGAAGTGAGGTCAGAGAAGAGTTACCAGTGTGTAAGCAATAGTTAAATATGCAAGGTAAAACAGAACATTAATATGAAATATTATAGCAACATAAAAATATTTAAATGCTGTCATATTCAAGAGGAGACAGATATATTATCTGTTAAGATAAGCCCAAGACAAGAACCAATAGATATAGAAGAAGATATTCTATTTGAATACTAGGAAAAATGTTCCAATGTTAAGTGCTCTTAAGCAATTTAACAGCCTGCAGCAAAAATACTTCGTATGAGTAGTTTGCTAATAGGAGTGGTATTCTTGCACTGAGTAAGGGACTGGACTAAACCACCTGTGGGATCTCTTCCAATTAATAAATTGTATGCTGAAATATTATGAAAAGCTGTCATTTTGTCACCCTTAAATTGGGAATAAACTATGATAACTATGAGACCTCTTCAGATAATAAGCTCAATCAGGCTTTTGAGCACGTGCCCTAAAATAAGCCCTCCCCCCAAAATAAGCTCTCCCCAAAAATATTGCAATATAGCAGCAGCCATGAGGTGACCATGCTTGCCGCCTCTTGCACCTCAAAAATATGAAATCTCCCTAAAAATAAGGCCAAGTGCTTATTTCAGAGGTCAAAAGAAAATAAAACCCTGTCTTATTTTCAGGGAAACACAGTGTGAGTTGTCAGACAAGAAAAGTTTAACTTAAAAATTCTGGCTTAGTCTTACACATGAAATTCGCTACAGAATGTAAGCTTGTTTTCCCTGCAAGTAGAAGATTAATGACAAAACAAAAAAATCCTCTACAGCTAATAGCTTAAATTCAACACTACCAGTTTAAACCAACTTCATATAAATGCATAAGAATATTGCATCAGTGCATTCTAAATACTAATCATAGCATCAAATGGCATAAAACACTAATGTATTATTTATTAGCTTGGGTTCTTCATTTTGGAATTATTATTATCCTCAATTGTCTATTTAAGAAAATGTATATGGCCAACTCACTCTCAGTAATTGTGGGCAGCTTACAAAGATAAAATTCCAATGAATAACAATAAAAAGGAATAACATCCACCCCATGGTGACAACAGTCAATAAAATAAGCCTCTTGATGGGCAACATCCCACTCTGGGTTTCCCAGGCCCTTTGGCAAAATCCTGTCTTGTGAAAGTTTCAAAATGGGGACCAAACTTATTTCTGTAGGGATGATGTTCCAGAGAGTAAGCTATCACAGAGAAGGCCTTCTTCTTGGTCCCTCTAGATTTAAATATAGTCTTCAACTTAAAACCACAATCCAGCTCAAAATTTCTGTTGTTCAATAAGACAATTTTAAATGAGCTTTGCCCCACATTACAACTTTTCTTGCCACATTTGTTAAGTGAATCGCTGCAGCTGTTAAGTTAATAATATGGTTGTTAAATGAATCTGGTTTCCCCATTGGCTTTGCTTGTCAGATTACAAAAGGCGGTCACATGATCCTGGGACACACAGTTTTCATAAAGTGTCTAAATTTGGATCACATGACCATGAGATTCACACAATTTCACAGTAACCATGAGATAAATAATAAAACAAAGAGAATATTCCTTTATCCCATTGTTTTGCAAATTTATGTACACTGTATGATTGTTTGAAGAGAAATTCATCTGTACCACCAGACTCTAAGTATGAGGAGGAAGGGCAAGCAGTAAAAATGAAAGTGAAACCTTCTAAGCAGCTTATAAATGTAATATTAAAGAGCACCTGTCATTTCAGATCCATCATGGCACCGCCTGTTAGTGGGCATCCACTCACCTGATGCCTGCCAGATCCCTCACCTTGTTGTGTCACTGCTACATCACTAGCAATCTCATTAAAGTAGATGCGACTGTCGGTGAGGGAACAACAGAGGAGGAGGAGAAGCCTCCTCCTCCTCAGAGGAGCCTCTGCAGGAGAGAGATGACAGTTGCTCTTTAAAAATTATGATTTAAATTGAGTTGTTTTAAATTGACTTGATTTAAATCAAATCCACCTTGCCAAATAAACAAAAGGAAGATACACTAATAAATTAATATTATTTAACTGCTGCTCTTTCAACTGTGGTCTATAAATAAAAATCGTGCTAATATCAGTGTGTTTTTTATTCTAAAAAGTTTCAGCACAGAAGCTTAAAATTCCATCTGCATAATCTACTTCTGCCTAATGAAGTATTTTGCATTATCTCAGTAGTCAGATTCTAACAAATAAACTAGAGTTACATCACGGCAGTTTATTTCCAAAGAGAGAAACAGGAACCACATCCACAAAATTTTAATACAGAATTATTAGCATCAATTCCCAAACCAAATCTTCCATCTATCTAAGACTTGAAAGCCTTCAAGATTATTTTCAAATCTGTTTTTTTTCTATATTTTCAACAATGAAAAAGAAAAAACTCACAAACATTTTATGCATTTCTTTCCTGCAGAGGATATGAACTTACTTTGTCAAATCCTAGCTCACACGTCGAATTAGATGCCTGCTGGAAAGCCTCCATTTGTTCTTGTTCATCATGTGCATCCCATAGTACATCTCCAAACAGTTCCTCTTCAGGAATTGAAGAGTCACCATTATCAGTCACATTTTTCTTTTCTATATGTGAAACTTCACAGACCAATATATCCTGTATGAGAATAGAAGTAAATCTTATGAAAGCAAAGCATCATTATTCTTCTTTAAGGACAGTTTCTAAAAAGACAATATTTCAGGCCCTCGATTCCTCTCCAGCATGAAAAAAGGACTCTTCATAATTTGTTCACATGAAAGAAGACTATGGAACTTCCTTGGAGAAAAGAAGATTTTTTTAATAGACAATATTGTTTACTATATAGTATACTAGATAAAAGAGGGAAGATGTTGCTCAATGTGGAATGGTTGTATCATCCATACAACCAAGTAGTTTTGTATCCTTATTGTATTCAATAGTAACAAAAATCAAAATTAACAAAGGTTAGCTGTCATCTTACCCATTCCTGGAACAGAAAACTATGCTGTCCCAGAAACTAAAGTATTAGGTTATAAACATTTTAAAATCTTCAGAAAAACTTGCAGATAAACAAGGTATTTTCAAAATATTGACAAGATACTCAGTTTTTGAAAGATAAATATTGAAGTGATCTAGTCAAACATCTGATAGCAGAAAATAGTCAATAAGCATTTAGCATAAAATGCTTTTTAGGATAATTATACTGACATGATGATTGAATTTGTAAACACTTTCATGCTATTAATGCTTTATATGAAATTTAAAGTATTTTAGATGTAAAATTCAAAGGCATAATTAAATGTTCTGACTTATGAAAACAAAATCAAGAAATCTAAGTGAATGTGCTACAATTAAAAAAGAATTAGAACATTTATATGCTGCTTTTCCATCACATAATCTTCAAGGCAAGAGACAAAGGGTAATACCTGTTTTATAATCTTTTCCACATAATTATATACTTCATATGCTCCTTCCTCTAATCCTCCCATGTGGTTGATGATCTTAGGGAGAAAAGAAATCATCATTAAAAGATTATGTCACCTTACAGCTGACAAGATTTAATAACAGAAAGATTTATAATGCTAGTTTTATATTGAACAAAATTTACATACTTATAACGAAGGCCAGTTTCCCACAATTCTTAAAATAAGCATCAAATACCCAGACTCCATATAAAAAGCCTGAGTAAAGCCTATGTTATTTAGACATAAAATAAAATTAGCGATGCACAAAAAAGAAGTTCAAGATATACTTATTTTCTATATCAATGTACTTTTTTAAAAGCATAAATCTAAACACATTTTGATTAGTACATACCTCCTTATTAGATAATTGTGCCACTATATTTCCCCTAATAAATATCCTCTGTTAGAGTTTGATATGCTATAATGATGGACATTCAGTTACAAACTATATCTTTAGCTTTCTAGAGGCAGCATTTTACATTCAGTGGGAATAAAAAGGGTAATCTGGATTTAAAATTATATTAAATTATAGCTTGATTTTTTTATATAAAATGATGTATCATTGGCATTTGACCCCAGGTAGACTAACAAAAATGTATAAAGGGATTTCTAATAAGTGTTGGAAATGTACTCTTAATCCAGGCTTATTTTATCAAAAATGTTGAAATTAACTGCTTTGATTTGAGATAATGGACTAGACAGACTTGTAAGAGCCTGGAAACTGTTTGTAGACTTTGTACGCACTAAATACAATAACAAATGGTTAACAAAGGGATTTAAAGATTAGTGTAATGTTTAGTTTAACTAAACATGGGAGTTTTTACTTCTTTCTTCTCTGTATGTTCATGGTATGTATGTATATATAATGTGTTTCTGCAAAAACAGGACATGTCCTGATAATAAGCCCAATCGGGCTTTTCAGGGCATGTGCTAAAATATCCCCCCCAAAAAATACCCCCCCCAACTACTTAAACACAACCAGTCCCCACCATTTCCACTGGTTGATTTACGTGCAAACAACCGAGTTGAGGAGGCGAGGCTGGAGGGGGAGAAAAGTGGGGATATGCCCCACACACCCTTTCTATACCTATCGGTAAGGCTGATGGACGGCCAAAAAGAGGGCCCGCCGCAAAAAGAGCAGCAAGCCAGCAACACGCCTCATGCCCAATTCCTTGCCATGCAAATAGAGCACCTCCTACCCTGCCCCAATGGCAACAGCATTCAGGCTGCTTCCCTTCCCCGCCGTCTCTTTAGCGAGAGGGGTGACAGGTGGGGCAGGAGAGAAGCGAAGTGTGTGTCCTAGTGGTACCTGAGACTTGCAGCTCCATCGTGTTCCTCGATGTTTTGTTCAGGGAAGAACCTTGTAAAAAAATCCTCATGAGTTCAATCAAGCTTTTTGAACTGGCAAGGTTTTTTTTTACAAGGTGCTTCCCTGAACAAAACAGTGAGGCATGCAATGGAGCTGCAAGTCTCACGTACTGCTAGGACGTGCGCCTTGCTTCTCCCCTGCCCCACCTGCCCCCCTCTCAATAAAAAGATGACAGGGAAGGAAAGCAACCAGGATGCTGTTGCCATTGGGGCGGGGTGGGAAGTGTTGGGCCATGAGACGTATATCTTACCAGAGACTGGCAGCTCCGTTGTGTTTCTCTCACAGTCTGTGCAGGGAAACACCTTGCTGGTAAAGAAAACGTTTGAGAAGTTAATTGCTCGCACTCATGAGAAGTTTTGTTTTACCATGCAAAGTGTTTCCCTGCACAGACTGGCCAAGAGACGCAACGGAGCTGTCAGTGTCTGGTAAGACAGTGCTGGCAGGTCCATCGTGTTCCTCACCATTGTGTCTAGGGAAGCATCTTGTAAAAAGCATCTTGTAAAAACTCTTGCGAGTTTCAGAAGTTTGATTCAACTTGCGAGAAGCTTTTTTTTTATGTTTCCCTGGACACAATGGCGAGGAATGTGATGGAGCTGGAAAGGTAAGAGGCATGTCTCGCTTCTCGCCTACCCCACCTGCCAAAAAATAACCCACCCACCCCGATAATAAGGCCAAGGCCGTATTTTGGGGATCAAAAGAAAATAAAACCCTGTCTTATTTTCAGGGAAACACAGTCTCTCTCTCTCTCTCTCTCTCTCTCCCTCCCTCTCTCTCTCTCTGTATGTTTATGTTTGTTGCATTTGTGGTGATAAATAAATAAAGGGAGACTAGTATAAATCTATTTTAAGCTATTTAGCTCTCATCAGCTAGTCATACCCTTACAGGAATTCAAACCTGGGCTGTTTTTACATGTTAGGCAGTTGTGTTAGCCTCTAAGCCACAAGCTCTCCTCCCGTATCAGCTGAGCCAAGGAAATGATTAAGTGTCATGTCAAAGCAACTGGTATGCCCAAATATGGGAGGGGGCATGGGAGGGAGCATGTAAAAGGGGAGAATTTATTGCTAAATTTCTATATGTTAACTGTTAAATTTATTTGGTATTTTAAACACTATAAATAAATAATCTGTAAACCCTTTAATACCATCTATTACAACTATGTTACATAAACAAAAAGAAAGCAATCACAGTAAATGCTCCACTTATGTAGATAGTTTGCCTCGTTACCTTTGCTTTATTCACAAAACGAACTTGCTCAATTAATTGCTGCACAGAATCTGAACTGACTTGACCATCTTCGAGTCGGTGGTAAATGAGCCGAGGTTTCCCTTCAGGGTTTTTCAAAAATGCTTCTTCACACTCATTTAGTAGATGCCTAAATTAGAAATCAGCATTCTTGTGCTATAATACTTTGCTGCAGTAAACGGTGTTAGCCCCAATATTGTATTTTTCTAAAAACTCCAATCAAAATGGTCAAACTTTATGAGTACAAATGTCATGCATTTTTAAAAACCAAGAGCAAAAATTGATCTGCTCTATAAGTAACTACTACAAATAATAATTTTACGAAGAATGAAGCTAAAAGGGTAGCCAGATCATTTTCAGTTCAACAGCAATTTCCACATTTGCCTCTTCATAACAACAACAATAATGATGATGATGATGATGCTATTAGGTTGCTAAGTCATAATTTCTCTGTTGAATTTAACAGCTTGCTACCACTGATTGTGACAAGGCAGCATGCTGACAATTCTGCATTTTTTTTTCCTGTTGCAGTCGCTGGAATGAAAAAGAGGAAGAGATGCAATGTAAATAATGCCTATAAATACCTTAATAAGATGCTGAAAATTGATTGTGAGGGGGAGAATAAAGATAGAATGTCTGTAATGGAACATCAAAACTCTCTCACTTCTTTTATAAGAGACAGAAACTAAACCCAAATTCTCGTTCCAATCTACAAGGCAAAACTAAATCAAAACAGGTATCTGGCACTTTGAAGTCAACTGGTTCTGTACCAAAAAGAACAGAACCAGGGAACCCAGTATCCCTAAAGGTATAGTTGCATCTGCAAAGGGACAATGCAGAATTAACAAGATGGCAAGCCCTGCTTTGGTTCTGTGCCAAATATTTCTAAATGAAGTGATTAATTCATTAAGCTACTTTTCTCCTTTAGAACGTATGAATGACAGAATAACAGAGTTGGAATAGATCTCGCAGATCTTCTAGTCCAACCCTCTGCTCAGGCTGGAAATCCTATACCAGTGATGAACCTTTTAGGGCCCGAGTGCCTAAACTGCAACCCAAAGCCCACTTATTTATTGCAAAGTGCGAACACGGCAATTTAATCTGAATAATGAGGTTTTACTACCTAAAATAATGAGTTCAGCTAATTGTTCTAAGAAAACTGTGATATGCTCCTTTTATGTCACTCCATTTTATTTTTTGCTTTTGAAATATTACATTTAGCAACAATAAAAAAGAAAAACTTTTGTAATATCATTTCTCTTTCCCTCCCTTTTTCCCCTCTCTCCTTTGCTTTCTTTCTTTCTCTCTCTCTTTCCCTCCCCTCTCTTTCTTTCTCTCTCTCTTTCCCTCCGCTCTCTATCTCTCTCTGCCTCCCTCTGTTTCTCTCTCTCCCCCTCCCCCTCTGGGGGGGGGGGGAAGGAACCCCTGAATTGGTGCTGGGTGGTGGGAATCTGATATCTGTAGGCCAATGAGCCTGGGAGCAGCTCGCTTAAGCTCAGCTAGCTGGCGGAGTGGCAGGGCATCCCAACACAGGCAGCTCTGCAGAAAAAGAAACTGCTTTTATTTGCCGAGATGAGATGACATGAGACGACACAGGGTCAGATTGTGCCTCCGCATCGTTATGGCCTTCAGGATGACGGGATCCCGCCTCCTACATTGTGACATGCACAAGTGAAAAGGTTCACTCAATCAATTCCAATTTTGCGAGATCTTTTTCTTTAGTGATAAGTTGGAATTGTTTGAGTGAAACACGATGGAGAAACGCTTTTGGAAGTGGGCTGGGGCGACTGCATGTGTGCCCACAGAGAGGGTTCTGCATGCCATGTCTGGCATACGTGCCATAGGTTCACCACCATGGTCCTATACCATTTCAAACAAATGGTTGCCCAATCTCTTCTGAGTAGAGTTCTGTGAAAACTAAAGTTCAGGAACCAGGAGAAGAAGACACGAAAGTTCCTGCCATGCAGCTGCAAAACTGCATCATTGCAAACAAAAACAACGGGGAGTGGGGGGTTGCAGTAGCAGATACACTGCAGGTTAGCTAAACATTTATCAGCTCAGTTGCCAAGTACAAATGAAATGGAATCCAGATTCCTTGTATGGAAAGGGTCGTTATAGCAGAAACTTATTTTGACAGGGTTTGCCTGCTGTTTTGAGTGCATGGCTAAGACTGAACATGTCTAATCTTAATGCTCATTTCAGGAAATAGAGAACATGTTCCAAGCAAATCTATTCTGAAGTCAACTAAATCTTCATTTCTGATATGAACAACTTTGATTAGGGGAAAGCATCTCTTCCGTATTATTCATTATTTTGTTTTCATTCAATAATCTTTTAAGATAAAATTATTTTAAAATCACTTATTATAAACTACATTTGGCGTCCTTCCTACATATAAAGTCAAGTAACTAAATGCACTTTGAAATTATTAAAATTTATAGAATACAAGTTTGCATGTTTTCATTACTATAGATCTTGATATTCAGAAAAATTGCAATGACTTTTATCAGAAAATATAAATGATTTAAGTATATTTAAAACTATGTTCCATATGTATTTTGAAATGTAATTCAATAATGTTCTCTTTTACCTGGATACCTTCCTTTAAAATATTCTTCTACTTTTCTTCCCCAAAAAACCATTCAAAATTACTCTTTCTGTTTAATCTTTATATTAGCTTTATTAACTCACCTTGGCAGATTTAAATGTAAAAACAAAATTGTTAGAGAACTTTTCTCAATTTCCCATTTTCTTACAGCATGTAGACAACTCTCATTTTCTGGAAAATAGACAACTTGAAAAAAATACTCCATCGCCTCACAATATTTCTGAAGTTTTGGAGAGTATTTCTGAAATTTAAGAAGAAATAAAATACAAACTGCTTCCCATATAAAGCTAAGCTATAAACTATAAAGCAAATCTTCACAGTTTACAAATCAGAAAACTGGATTTGCACATCATTATAAATCAAAGCTAAATAAATTACATACATATATATAATGAACTGGGGTTAATATAAACTATAGCTAAAAATTATACTTACTTTTGACTGCAAATTATTCCCCAAAGTAGTAATACCACAATTAAACCTAACAATTCCTCTAAATCTAGGAAAAGTCCCAATTTTTTTATTCTGCTTACACTGAAACCTTGCAATTTAGTAACAGCAGTTGATAATGATTTGTCATCCCCAAATGCCTTTTCCATAGCAAGTCCTTCAAATTAGTTCATAGAAGAAAATCAAAACTTCTCTAAATTCAAAAGCAAAATTCAAATTACAAAATAAAACATACTGATTATAACCAGAGAAATAAGCATTACCACCAAAACACAATGAAAACTACAATTTCAGACCAAAATTTTGTGAAAGGTGGAACTCAAAAAAAAAGGTGGAGCAGGATATCTGCTTCCCGAAAATATCAACAACTAAGCTTTTAGATGTACTGACAGATCCAGAAAAGAATGGGAGAAATGATCAAAAAAGAACTAAGCTTGAGTTAAATTAAAGCCTAGACCAACTACCTTGAAAAAACTTTAAATGGAGCCAAGGTGGCGCAGTGGTTAGGGTGCAGTACTGCAGGCCACTTCAGCTGACTCTTATCTGCAGTTCAGCGGTTCAAATCTCACCGGCTCNCCATTACTATTGTGGTGTGCTTCCTACATACCTTAGTTAGCTGACCAGCTGGAAGTCCTTGGTCAATGGGGTCTGCAGCATGACCCTTCTGTCAGAGTGGGATGAGTCAATCCCATTGGGATTAGATGGTTCCTCAGGTAGCTTGGACCCATGCCAGGGCTTTTTGTAGAAGAGCAGGCAGAGCCAAGGGAGGGAATTAAACACCTTCATCAGCTTAGGGCAGTGTTGGAGAATCTTTTCGGCACCAAGTGCTGAAATGGGACCGTACATGTGCATGCAGGGGAGCACTGGAAACCAGAAGAGCAGTTCCCCTGTGCGCATACATGCACCGGCGAGCTGAGCTTCTGGTTTCCTGCGTATGTATGTGCAATGGTCACCTGGTCTTCCAGTTTCTGGTGCGCATGCAAGTGCAAAGACCAGCTGGCCGGCACGCATGTGCATGCCGGAACCTGGAAGAGCAATGCGTGACAGCTGGCATGCCCAGAGAGATGTCTCCGAGTGCCACTTCCAGCATGCATGCCATAGGTTCACCATCACCGGCTTAGAGCCTTACATTGCTATAAATTATTCAAGTCCAGCTCCCCTTGAATTCCATTGACGCTTAGCTAGCGCTGATTCAAAGTTGAACTTTAGTTGACTAGGGTTATCGTTCAAGCCTATATACAAGAATCTAATCAACTAAAGTTCAAATCTGAATCAGCAGCAGATAAGTGTCAATAGGATTCAAGGGTGGCTGGATCTGGATCGGTTGTGGCAATGTAAGGATTCTAAGCTGATAATGCATTTAACTCCATCCCCAGCTCTGCCTGCTCCTCCACTTTTGTTGTCTTTCCCACTGCTGCATTGAAGTATACCCTACCCATTCTTGATTTGACAGAAAACTGCCAACATGAATTGACTCTCCACATTGCCAACCTCTATCTTGTATCTATTGCCTCTGTTCCCAGCCACCACAGCCACCTGGGAACCCTCCAAGATCCTGGGTGACCATGCCCAATGCAGTTCGCTTAACTGGATAGAGCTGGACTCAGAAGGAACAGGCTGCTATAAAGCTGGAAAGAGATATATGAAATAGAAGGACCAGGGGAGACATGATAGCAGTGTTCTAATATTTGAGGGGCTGCCACACAGATGAGGGGGTCAAACTATTTTCCAAAGCACCTGAAGGCCAAACAAGGAATAATGGATGGAAACTGACCAAGGAGAGATTCAACCTAGAAACAAGAAGGAACTTTCTGACAGTGAGAACACTCACCAATGGAACAGCTTGCCTTCGGAAGTTGTGGGAACTTCATCACTTGAGACTTTCAAGAAGAGATTGGACTGCCATTTGTCAGAAATGGTGTAGGGTCTCCTGCTTGAGCTGGGGGTTGGACTAGATGACCTACCAACTCTGTTAATCTGTTAAATCACAGTGAAGGGACAAAAGCTTCAAGCAGTGGATCAATTTACATACCTTGGCAGCATCCTCTCCCGTGCAGTGACAATGGAGATCGAGGTCAACTGCAGAATTGCCAAGGCAAGCTCTGCATTTGTCAGACTACTGACCAACGTGTGGGACCGCCATGGAATAAGCCTTGCTACAAAGCTCAAAGTCTACCGAGCAGTAGTGCTAACTACCCTGATATATGCCAGTGAGACTTGGACTGTATACAGGAGGCATGCTAGGCAATTGAACCACTTCCACATGACCTGCCTCCGCAGATTTCTGAAGATCCGGTGGCAGGACAAGGTTCTAGACACAGAGGTCTTCTTCAGAGCAGGCCTGCCATCAGTTCACACCCTGCTGATCAAAGCCCAGACATGCTGGGCAGGCCATGTTGCAAAGATGCCAGACCACTGAATCCCCAAACAGCTCCTCTATGGTGAGCTGTTTCAAGGAAAGCGGTCGCACGGGGGACAAAGGAAGCGATACAAAGACACTCTGAAAGCCTCTCTCAAGTGCCTGGATATCAACACTACCTTCTGGGAAACCCTGGCACAAGATCGATCAACATGGTGCACCTTGATCCACCAAGGCTGCCAGACATTTGAAGACAGAAGGACAACCATAGCACAAGAGAAGCAAGCACTCCACAAAGCCAGAGATGCAAATGCTGCAATAGTGGTGCGACCCAGGCCTGCCACGCCCCAGAACCGGTCCCCTGGTTGCTCGCCCCACTCACTCGCCCCACGCAGTCACTCCTCACCTCCTGGGTGGCTTCCCTGCCTAAGCTGCCTTGCCTGTCTAAGCTGTGACGTGGTGCCTGCTCTGCGCCACAACTGAGCTGCCTCCCCCTCCTGCCTACAGGTAAGTCTCGCTAGTCCCCCCCCCTCCCCAGAGCTTGCTGCACCCCCCCTTCCCCACCAGGAGCACAATCTTACCTT